TCATTGCAACCCACTGGAAACAAAAACCTGTCCTATTTTACTACAACTCCAAGAAAAAAAAGCCATCTATATTACACATATGAACGCATGTCCTTAGACGCCGCCCAACAATATAACATTTTCCAGGAGACCTGGAGTCCATGGACAATCTACTATATATCTTGGGATTCTTTTTGGGATTACACGAATGGTTTGTCATACTTATAATCATTCTTTTTCTTTTGATCACATTTTCTCATATTTTTTTATTATTTAAAAAAATAAAAATAAATTATAATTCTTTATTTTTTGTCGCCCTTGGTCCCCAGCTGCATGTGAGCAATCAGGTATAATTATATTGGGATACAAAATATGCTAGAAGCGTGATAATGATTTATATGTCCCAATGGTATAGCCAGTTATATGGGACAGAATTTGTCTAATACATTTGTTCAGGCTCTATTTCCTGTACTGATGAATCCCATATCTCCCTTCTTTTGTTATTTTTGTTATATTTATTGTGGTACTTTACCTTCTGATTATGAAATATGCTAGATGCTCTTTACTAAATGAAATGCTTTCATTCCAACAATTACCAGTCATATGGCTATGGTTTTTTGGTTGCAATATTTATTTATGTGTGCTAGTTCCTTGAAAGATATAATAACTCTCCATTTGTATTTAGTGCATTCTTTATAGTAGCTATTCCTTACAATCCCCTTTGCACTCTCATTTAAGGCTTAATAATAGAAATAACAATATTAATGTTAAACTCTTACATATATAGAACTGTCTTGTATTATATGTTGTGTTTGAACAATAAAGTTGGTTTTAATGATGTCACCACGCATGACGTGAGAACGCACGATGTGACGTTACCATGTCATTACGTTTAGGGGTGGGCCATGTCGTTAGTTACATTGGCCGCCGCCATTATTTGGTATAAATGTTTGGTAATTTTACTCCTGCAACTAGGGCCTTCGAAGGGGCATTCCAGCCCAGGAAAAAATGAGACAGGCGACGGTGACCGGACCGGATGGGGACTAACCTTCATCACCACTTATCTGATAAAGTGACACTCTTGAATGCAGCGTGCTTCATCGGTACACAATTGATTGGACCTCACTCTGCATCCTATATTTAGAGCTCCAAAAGATCTGTGGTGAGATCCAACCGATTTTTTTCACAAAGCTGCTTAATTTTGTATTTTCCACCTTTATTTTTTATTACTTATTTTTAATTTTTTCACACAATTTATTCTGTCTGATCAGACTATCAATTGTTATTACTAATCAATTAGTGGTGGATCCCCCAGATTATATATGAACTACCAGCTTCATCGAAATAATATCCATAGGCGGTATATAGTTGTAAATACTTTGTATGTATATATCATGGAATTTTACCACATGACAGGAGGCTTCATATTTGCATATCTTTCTTTACTGAAAACTCCAGCAGCATAGAAACATAACAACCAATCAGAAAAAAGCTATGGTGCCCATATAAGGCCCTGTCTATGACATCACTTCCTCTTTCTTTGCTGCTCCAGCCTACAACAGGTCAGAGTATTTTGCCTCTCTGGTTTATTCTTTTTTACAATGTATTACTATTGTCATAATGATTTTTCGACTACTGCTATCTGGCCCTCTTATAACCTGTCCCTTCTTCCTTTTTTCTCCCCCTCTGTATTTTACTTTGTTATGCCTGGCAGTCCGCGGACGTCACGACTGCCCGTGTCGCGCTCGCCCGCGGACCTGCACTTTATATATTTGGGGGACTGTATGGGGACGGGTGGAGGGAGGCTAGATCAGTTTAGTTTTATTTTTAATCTTATTTTCTTTCGTTTTTCCTCTGCGCGACCGCGATCGTCGCGCTCCTCCACATACGGGCAGCGGCCATCTTGGATCTCGCGGCTCGCGAGATCCCGACGGCCGCCTTCCCCGCTCGCTTGGCGTTTCGGGAATCACCCGATCGCCGAGCTTCACTAGTATTCAGCATGAGTGACCTCTGCATGGGGTGCCTGCGGGTACATGAGGTAGTTTTTTCCTGAGACCTGGTCTTATGGTTTCAGTATAGACTGTATGAGACACTTAAAGGACAACTGTTTTTCTGTATTAAGGAAAACTGAGGACAGCCCTGTGACTGTATCATTCCCATTAGGTCACTACACAATCTGCGTGATGTGCTTACACTTGTCAGTTTAAACCTTTTCTTATGCTGTAGGGAGCAAAGGCAAACTATGCTGTGGCACAGGCCACCATAAGGCAGGTCTAGCTGGACCATGACTCTCACAACCCTCGGCCATACGGCAATTTTACCTCATGTCATATGCTTGAAGATATATATACATATATATACAGTGAGCTGCTGTGGCTTTGAAAGCAGTACATCAGGCTCAGGCCTGCAAAGTGCTCTGGTTCAAATCCCCTGGTGGGCACTGTGAGAGTAAGTTTGTGTGTGCCTGTCACTTTGTCCTTTGTTTAAATGGTGGCTTTATTTCAGCATGCGAAGCATTGTATGCACACTGAATGTTTTCTCCTGTAACCTAAAGGGTCATATACTATATCTATGCCACACAGGATCATGATATATTACTGTGCCCCACGCGGGGGCATACTTAATGACTGTGCCCCACACAGCGGCATACTCTATTAATGTACCCTACATGGGACATACTACTACCGTACCCTACACAGGGGCATACTGTACTATTATACCCTACGCTGGGTCATACTATATGGCTGTACCTGACCGTACAAATCTATGTGGGTGTCCTCTGGGTATTTTTCATGGCATACCACCTGGGGTGACCCCCCAGATATGCATGCAAGGTCATTCATAGACCATTACGTTGATGTGGGTGTCCTCTGGGTTACCACGGCACGCCACCCGGGGTGAACCCCGATAGAAGGCACGAAGACCTACGCCTCAATTTTATCACTGATTACTGCATACATGTATGGATGTTTAAAAACTGCCTGGCAGTTTTACATTAAAGCAACAGTACCACCTTGCTGGATATGTTTTGCAGGCAGGATCATGAGTAAACTGAGTGTATTGCGGAGTACCCTTCACAGGGATACATATCTGTACTTTTACTGTACCTGGCGTACATATTGAACGTGGGTGTCCACTGGGTAATTTTTCATGGCACACCACCTGGGGTGACCCCCAGACATGCATGCAATACTTGTAAGGTGCCAACAATTATAATGTGGGTGTCCTCTGGGTTACCAAGGCACACCACCTGGGATGACCCCAGTCGAATACACGTGGGCCCTGCGGCATCAGACCTTATGGGGACAGGTCCCATGCGCTTCTATAATAAGCCTGTATAGTTACATCCGTGCATACAGCTCTGGCGTGCATTTATGGTGAACCCGACTAATCGGACCAGCACTACAGGTCAATCGCACCTACGCCTCAGCTCCCAATAGCCGGATTAAACTAATGGAGGTGACCCCTCTACACGTGGCACAAGTATTTCATACACTCAGACAATCAGATGCTGGCAATTCAAGCCGCTTTACCTGGGTGACCCCCAGTGCTACCAGGAGTCTAGCACCCCTACGTGCTGACCCTCAATCACTACTCCCACTGACTGCCACTATGTCCCAACAGGACGAGAACGGGTCATGGAGGACACACTCAACCTCCCCAGGACTTCTAGGCATTGATAAACGACGCAGTAGCGGTCTCAGTGGAGAAGGTTTTTTTGTTATGAGCTCTGCCCCAAACTGCTTGCCGGAGACCTCAGCCCCACGAGCCTTCATGTCAAAACGGCAAGGGAAGGGGTCCAACCCCCTAAGGCAAGTCCCTATCGAACAGACCAAGTAGACGGAATACCGGGATTCCGCATCCCTGTCCACCACAATCTTCCGACAAAGAAGACTACTATCTACCACGCACGGTGGACATAATAGATCAGTGACACGGAGACAACCCGCTATCTGAGGAAGTGGAACGGAAAGACCTACCCCTATTTTCCTCGAAATCCGTTGGGGAAACCCCACTCTGTGTCGGCGACTGAGACGGAGATAGCGATGGCGGACATTTGTTGCTGCTCAATCCTCTGGGGATGGATGTATGCGCACACCTCAAGACCAGATACCCCAGACCACTGCTGCCAGACAAAGTGGCAGTCACACCCGAACTCAGCAACACACGATACAGTACTCAGTCTACCAGACCTGATTACGAGATATTCTATTTTGCGGATTTGGCACTCAACCAGGGTACACAACTCAACCCTACCACCTCCGGAGGATGGACTCAATGCTTGAGACCCCAGGGTAGAGCAAAGGACGCACTATGCGCCGGCGGGCGCAAACCTGTACTGGTCCGCATCGACAACACACTATTAGACCTAAGAACAACTAGTATTCGGCCCAGAAGCACAAGACCTACTATTTGACGGCGGGAACTTATCCACCACACTAACTTTAGCTCAGACCTTGCTGAAACAAATCCTCCACACCCCTTCGGGGAAAGGTGTTTTGGGAGGACTGGTCGGTAGCGGAACCGAACAACAAAACGCTTCATCTACTAGTGAGTCAACCTATCATCAAGGGAACTCCTACGTGGTATACAAATGCTTCAGGATAGAGAAAATCAACCTTCTACTAGACCTCCTGAACGATAACGACTGGTTTACACATCTGGACCCCGAGGACACATACTTGTCGAGATCCGTTACCCTAAACTACTTAGTTTTCCTCCGATCTCAGGGATGAGGACTAACAGCAGTTTACGACTCCGTGGTGCCCACGGAGCTACTGAAGCCGGTGAGGGCTCACATCCGCGAATTTGGACGTGCGATGTCTCGTGTACCTGGAAGATTTGCTGACCCTTTGCGAATCCAGGCTACGTTTGCAGTCAAATTTGACGTTCACGTTCTGGACTCCATTGGTTTGTTTGGTAGTACGCAGGCAAACGATCCCCCATCTGTGTCGGGTCAGTTCCTCGGTTTCGACATCGGCTTGGAGAAGATCACCCCTATACGGATGGATGTCGGACACACTCTAAGGTTGGATACGATTCCTCTCAGAATACTCACCGGATTGTGGGACTCCTCTCCTCCTCCATACAATCGATACTTCCTTGCCCACTACACTACGGGGCCATGCAACGACTGCTGACTAGATACGTACATGCCGGTCACTCATACGACCACTAGATCCAACTGTCGGCAGAAGTGAGGACGGAATTTCGATGGGGATTACTTCACTTGCAATCTTGGATCGGCAAATCGATGTTTGACTCTTTCCCGGATGCGTAGCGTTGGATGAACCCATACAAACGGACCCAACCGCTCTCCACAATGGCAAGGGTGCTTCGATACACACGCACACACAAGATATCGCTCCTGCTCATGACACCCCTCGGACAATGCCAACCGTGGTTCCCGGATCGCCTGGGGACGTCTCGCGAAGACCCTCTACCACTCCCTACCTTCCCTCTACTTTTGACGGGACCTCGAGGGGAAGCCCCCTCCTTTGTCGTGGAAGGACGACTGGCACTAGTGGCCTGGATGATTTCAGGGCCTCCTGAAATGTCCACGACCTATTGCATCAACTAAGACCTCTGATGGGACTCATAGGCTCCCGGCACCAGGAAATGCTATATTTCTGCCTGACCGGCCTGGAGTGTTTGGTGGGTGGAAAGGGATTCCGATCCCTTTACCGCATCTGCCCCACTGATCCTTAACTATCTGTCACACCTGGTCTTGTTGGGGCGGTCATATCGATCCCTCAACGTGATCGGATCCGCCATATCGGCGACGCACGTTCCGGTACAGGGCGGACCAGTAGGGCAAGATCCACTGGTTTGTCGACTACTTCGGGGTGCCGAATTATCGAGACCCGGCACCCAAGTATTCACACCTCTGGCAGGTGGATGTGGTGCTGTAATTCCTTGGGGAATATCAGGACAATCCTTGTTTGTCACTGAAACAACTTTCAGCCAAACTAGCCCTCTTTTTGTGCCTCGTCTTATTTAGACGGGTGACGGACGTTAGGGCTTTCAATATGGATGGTTTTTTCTCTCACCCCAGACGGGATTACCTTTACCATATCGAGACGAACTAAGTCCAATTGATCTTCGATGTCATACCCATACTTTGTGTCAGACACCAAACTATGTGTGGTCGGACCGCTAATGGGGTATACCGAATCATTACCCCTACGTACTCATGCGACGGGTCTACTCCTGACTTCTTACGTGGAACCTCATGGAGAGGTGTCTACCGCTACATTCGCCAGATGGACTCGCTGGCTATTGCATCTAGCGGGCGTCAAACCTTGTTTCGGAGCCCACTCGGTCAAGGGAGCGGCGGCCTCACAAGTCATTTTCGTCCGACGCTTCCCTAACCGACATTATACGATGCGCGGTTTGAGCGCGAGAGGGTACGTTTAGAACGCTCTATTTCGGCAAACATCTCATACTTCCTTCACATTGGTCAATTCTAAGCTTTAAAAATGCAAATATGAAGCCTCCTGTCATGTGGTAAAATTGAAGATTATACTAGCTTTAGTGTACTAATAATCTTAATTTTAATAATGACAGGAGGCGAATATTTCCCACCCTATAGGATCCCTCCCATGTTTCTCGTGTTGAACAGAATACGTCCTTTATGTTCAGGAAGTCAGGTATGTTTTGGTTGCATGTTTGCTACTCGATCATGTATCTTGAGAGACTTGTATAGGTTGATTCATTTGTCTGGTACCTTGAGTTATGTTGTGCTTATAGATTCTTAAATGTCATTACTTCCGAATTATATATATTGATATGTTACTCATTCTAGTATCCATTGATATGTCAGATTTTTAATGTTTATTGTATGTGGACAAGTTATCACGCCAGAGTCCTTTCACCTGTTTCCTTTTTCTTGCAGCGTGAACGTCTTCTCATCAGGACAAAAGCTCACCTTTCATACCGCTGCATCATGGAACTACTGGAGTTTGTTTATCCCAATATGTTGTTGAACTGTTGACGTAATATGATTGTGTTTATTGTTGTTATTTATTGTTTTGCTTCAAAGAAAGAGGAAGTGATGTCATAGACAGGGCCTTATATGGGCACCATAGCTTTTTTCTGATTGGTTGTTATGTTTCTATGCTGCTGGAGTTTTCAGTAAAGAAAGATATGCAAATATTCGCCTCCTGTCATTACTAAAATTAAGATTATTAGTACACTAAAGCTAGTATAATCTTCAATTTTGTTATAACGATTGTAGATGAATTAACAGAGTGAACATCATTCTGTATATTTGGCAATAGTGGTCTTTCTTTTTTACAATTTTGTGTCCTTAACTGTATAATAAATGTATTTTTGCATATTAACATATCGATTCGTTTTGATGCATATTATATGCTATTGAGTGCGGTATTAAAAGCTATTTTTTTGTATATACCATTGAGGTCCTTATGGGGATTGTCTCTAATACTTGCACCACTCTGTAATAGAGTACCAACACAACAATTATTATTGATCATGGATGAGCTACTATACCCCATTAATTGTGACTCCATCTGTGACGAGACCACTCTCGCCACTGTGCATTGGAGGAGCCTGGTTGCCTGCCTGCTGCCTTTTGACTATGGACCGGCATTTAAATACATTTATTTTCCTATGCAGAAAGGTCTACTCATGTATTTCTGCTCTGGCGTTCTGTAGATTCTCGGATTTACTGAATGAACTCATTTAACCCAGATAGCTATGCCATGGAGCCTATTCGTGTAATAAAATACTTTGGCTCCATGGCAATTGAACTGTATGTGTGTGGTCTGAGAGCCAATGAGTAATAATGTGCGCTCAGACCTAAGCTATCTGGGGATATGTTGCATGTCTGTATTTTATGTAATAAAAGTAACCTTGTGTATTTTACTGTCTTTTTACCATGTGCTTAATGGAGTTTTGCCTCTGTCCTTGGAGATAATTGGATTACTTCCCAATTATCTCCAGGATAGAAGACTCTGTGGAACTGGTTTTGGGCAGAAAAGCCATGCTTCCTTTGGTCACAAAGGACTTTGATCTATTTTTTGAACCAGTGGACCAATGTGGATGATTTTGACATATGTTCGTATTTGGAGAATGCTGATTTTTTAAGTTTTATGTGAATGTGATGCATACTTTTCAAGTTATGAATAATGTGGAAAAACTGTATTTCTATGCCTATGATAATTACATTGCCTATTGTGTAAGGTAATTGAATCACAGGCAGAGGGGAGGATTTTGTGTGGGAGTGTCTGAGTGTATTGTTTGTTTTCCAAAACCCTGTGGGTGGTACTAATGTGTATATAAGAACAATAAACCCACAACTCTGCCTGATCACTGCTTGACCCTCAACACAGAGCTTTGTCTCGTTCTTGGGGGGGATTTACTGTATGCTGTTAGAGACTGATTCGTGAGGTTCCAGTTCGGGAGTTTGGAGTGCTACTTGGTATCCTGTTTTGGAGTTTGGGGCTCTGCAGTAGCTGTGCCTGTGTCTCTGGAAGGGGAAGATCTACTAAACGGCGGTTTAACCCTTTTATGCCTGGGGGTGCCGTTACACCATCTACTTTTGATACTAAGCCATAATCGGTGAAGGGTGAAATAATTTTTTTTTTTTTTTTACAAGTATATAATCTATTTGAAAGCTACCACCTTAGACATCTAAGGACAGTGCACAGAGTACTCAGTACACAATACATAGACCTTGAGCAAACAAAACTTGTCAGACCTTTGCTTGAAGATACATACATGTAGGCAGGGGCATTTTAGCCACGAGGCAAACAAGGCATTTGCCTTGGGTGGCATTTTCCACGGGGCGGCAAAAAAGCCCCCCCCCCAAAGCCCAGGGCAAATGCCTTGTTAGCCTCGCGGCTAACAGACATGCCGAGCGGGCGGGCAGCGCTGGGCGGGCGGCGGCTGGCGTGGGAGCTCTTCCTCTGAGCGGTCTGCTCAGCTCCCTCGTGCACCGCAGAGTGAGGCTGGGAGCCGGGTTGATATTCCGGCTCCCAGCCTCACTCTGAGGCGCGCGAGGGATCTGAGCAGACCGCTCAGAGGAAGTGCTCCCTCGCCAGCCGCCCGCCCACCCAGCGCCCAGCAGCCACTGGACCCCAGGGAGAGAGGGAACCCACCCCCCCAGCATTCCCAAAGGTAAGGAGGCTGGAGGGGGGGGGGGTTTAAAAAAAATGTGTGAGTGTGTCTGTGAGTGTGTCTGTTAGTGTGTGTGTTAGTGTGTGTGTGTGTGTGTGTGTGTCTGTTAGTGTGTGTGTGAGTGTGTCTGTTAGTGTGTGTGTGTGAGTTAGTCTGTTAGTGTGAGTGTGTCTGTGATTGTGTCTGTCAGTGAGTGTGTCTGTTAGTGTGTGTGTCTGTTAGTGAGTGAGTGTCTGACTGTTAGTGTGTGTGTCTGACTGTTAGTGTGAGTGTTTTTGCCTGTGAGTTTGTGTGTATCAGTGAGTGTTTGTGTCTGCTAGTGTGTGTGTGTGTCTGCTAGTGAGTGAGTGTGTTTGTGTATGTTTGCCTGTGAGTGTGTGTGTCAGTGAGTGTGTGTGTGTCTGCTAGTGAGTGCCTGTGTGTGTCAGTGAGTTTGTGTTTCTGTTAGCTAGTGTATGCGTATCTGTCAGTGAGTGTGTGTGTGTGTGTGTGTGTGTGTGTATTTAGAAGGCTGGGCGGGGGAAGGGATAGGTGAGGGTCGCGCACACGTGGTGGAGTTGGGGGGGTTTGGGGGGCGCCTGAGTTTTGTCCTGCCTAGGTCAGCACAAAACCAGGATACACCACTGCATGTAGGGGATGACCTCAGTGACCATGCACATATGTTGGACAGGCTGCAAGATGAATAAACTCCTTCCCTTCCCCCTCTTCACGTATTTTCTTCTGCATCCTTCCCCCACTCCTGCAAAGTTACCATGTGTGGCGAAAGTAACCTTGCCATTGCAAAAACACATGTTAAAAAAGGAATTCCATGAAAAAAAAAAAAAATCAAACCACAGAACCAATCTGGGTGATTTTTGGATATGTTGGTCACCCAGATCAGGGCTATCCGAGGATCTGACTCTTGTGGTGTTTCCATGCATCTTGGGGGTACTTTTGGGGTGTTTATAAATTGTGTGTTTTTCTGGACATGGATATAATTATCTCTTAGACACAGAGGAGGAGAATGTTAAATGCATTGCTTGTCTGTGCCTCTCCCCCTTTTTCCTGTCCTATTGTTTCCCCAG